TGTTGTTGTTGTTGTTGTTGTTGTTGTTGTTGTTGTTGTTGTTGTTGTTGTTGTTGTTGTTGTTGTTGTTGTTGTTGCAGGTTCCAATTATAAGTTGGTTTTTTTGATTGATTATCATCACTTGTATTAATGTTAGAAGAATGATTAACAAAGAAAGTTTCAAATGGATTTGTATTATTGTTTGGAGAAAGAGATGGGGAAGGAAGAGCAGAGGATTGGGCACTTCTTGCGGTAGAAGGAGTATCGATACCAATATTGGATGTTGGTATGGTATTGTAATGCCTTGGATTTGAAGTGTACGAGGTGGTTGATTGATGTGAAATAGCGGAGGGATTTGAGGTAGAGTCAATTTGATTATTATTATTATTATTTATAAAAGACTTTATTTTAATTCCTAGAATACCATCATCGTCGTCGTCGCCGTCGTTGTTATTTGAAAATTCCGTCCATTGTCTTTGTGAAGTTGAATTGTTTTTTTCTTTTGATAATTTAGCACAAACTTTTTTATGTGGAGGAGATAAAGTCCCATAAACAGGTGTATCTTTGTTTAAATGGTTATCAAGTTCATCGCTATCTGCATTATTATTGTTATTGCTATTTGAAGATTGTTTAAGAGATTCCAATGTTAATGTTAATTCTAAAGGAGATGCAGGTCTTTTACGAGCACCACTTTCTGAATGTTTTGCACCAGTAAGATTGTCGTCATCAAAAGAATGATAAGTAGCAGTCTCAGATGTAGTAGTTGTTGGACCAGATGCTCGCATATTATGCAAAGCCTCTTGAAGCTATAAATATATGCGAGATAAATTTGATATGATATTTAAAAAAAAAATTTATTTGATCACGTATATATATATATATGTGTAATAAATGTATAGAAATTTGTAGACCTTTAACACTTGTTGTTCAGCGTCTTCATGTTCACGAATGTAAGCAGGTTGACCATTTAAATCAAAACAAAACCTTTTTAAGGCCGGAGGTGTTGGAATGTTACCTAAAGGATAATCTTTTGGATCAAGATGTTTTGGTAATGGCGGAGGTTTTAATAGTAAAGGGGGAAAAGAAGTGGCAGCGGTGGTGGTGGTGGTGGTGGTGACCACAGTAGTAGTAATAGTTGGAGCTAGTGATATAGTAGCTACCGTTGGCTGTCTACCCTGTGATTGTTTTGAATTTGAAGTTTTAGAATTATTTGATTTCTTTTTAAGGGGTATTGAAGTAGATACAGGAGTTGAAGGTGAAGAACGAAACCCTTCAGAAGGAATATTAGTAGTATCAAGTTTATAGTTTGGTAAAGTATTGTTGTTATTACTTTTCATAATTTTAAAATAATAATATTGTTGTCCTAGATATATGATAAGTGGTTTTTTTATAATTTTATATTGGCAATTAAAATAAAGCTATATTTATGAAATTTATGTTCATTTTGTCGATCTTTTTATCTCCAAAAATGGATTACATTATTTACTAGTAATTAACTCTTTTCATATTAACTCATTTTTGTAATGTGTTGTATGCGCTTTATCACATTCAAAATCTAAAACCAATCGTTTTATTTTGTTACGTGCTTGAGGTAGTTTATTAACTTTGCTTTAATTCATTAACAAATCGATTGCCTTGAATCCTATAAATTTATACATATGTAAGCAAACTTGATAAGTTTGTTTCGGCCAAAAATTTTCGCCTTTTTTTAAGGTTAGTCAATAATAATAATATGTTACCAGTTCAAATACAATTAATACAATTAACTATTTCTGATATTTTCAAAATAAGTTCTACCAATTCCCAACATATTGAGATAAGTTTCTTGACAAAGAGGTATATTGTGATCCTAGTGATAGAAAGTTCTTTTATTAGATCTAGTTTTCTTTTTAAGGTGTCTACGAGTGCTTATCGAGCCACTGTACATTGTTTTAATCTGGGCCATTAAAATATGTCTTGTTCAGATTTAGAAAGAGCTTGAAAAAAGGATTCCCTTAATTCTGCAAATTATTCCTTGGGAATTCTTGAAGAACAACCACAATTACATCCTTTTTCTGAAAAATCAATCATTATTTTCATTATTGCTTTTCATATACCTATAATCCTATATACATATAATTTTGTGTTCGCTTTGTAGATTTTTATAATTGTTTTAAAGTATATAAATATGATTGTTCAGTAACTCGGAAATACTTATATTACATTGGCTGTTACCTTTTTGGCTTTGTGAAGGAGCCACAAATTACCCAGAATGTATAGATAATATTCTGTTCATATTTTTTATTAGAATAGAATGTATGTAGTAAATAATTTTATTTTATAGAACTGCTGAGGACAGGCGAATATAAATAATAGAATGGAAAATAGTAAAAGGTTATTGAAAAACATGTATTTAAAAATTTTTTTTTCAAAATAATAAAATAATAAAAATTTAATGTGCACCTTCGTAACGGTTTAATAAAAAACTGGTTTTCGGTTGTAAAACGGTAAATCTGTGGATAACTTTGTTACACCAATTTTAATTCTGTCAATATTTTCTACAAAAAAAAGTTTTTTTTTAAAAAACAAAAATTATGGAAAATAGTGATAAAAGCAACAACGAAAACAACAATACTGTTGCTCAAGAAAAAGAACAACAACAATCTCTTGTTGTTTCAACCGCGGTTCATAATAATAATAACATCATTTTACCCACAATCCTTGAAAATGACGATAACGAAAATCTGTTAACCACTATTGTTCAATCACCAACTGAATTTCTTCCGCCTCAAAAAACTCTTACAACCACCATAATAGAACACAGAAATAGTTCTAATAATTTATCACCTAATATCTCCTCTCATACAGTAATAGGTAGCAGTCGCCCAAATACACCTGATACAGATAAAACCGCAGTTGAATCATCAAACAATACTAATGCTAATACTAATAATAACCATAGCAATAATTCATTTGGAGCAACACTTTTAACTACATCACATCCTAATAGTAGATCAAATAGTCCAAGCAGTAATAATAATAATCATAGTAGTAGTATATTGCCTTCTACTTCACACTCACCAAATATACCTGATAATAATAGACTTTCTACACATGATAATGTTTCACCAACTTCATCACAAGGATCACTTACACCTTCAAATACTAGAAGCAGATCAAATACACCAGACATTAATAATAATAATAATTCTAATCATGGTAATGGTAGTAGTGGCACAGCACCCATTATAAGTAAAGTTAGCCAATCGTTACAAACAAATGATGACTTGCCTGAAATGAAACCTATCAAAGAACCACTTACAAGCAGTAATTTTATTCACATAGGAATTCCAGCAGAAATTAATTTTCCAAGTGCAAACATTAAAGAAACAATTGTTGGGGTATTTCATATTTTTAATCCTAAAGATAATCCGGTATCATGGAGCCTTAAACCAGCTTCAGTTGCCACATTTCGGCGATTGGGGACATCAACAACAGCAGCAATCAAATTAGATGAAGAAGTTTTTTCAGTCAGGAGACCATCAGGATACTTGAAAGCAAAAAATGCAGTAAGGGTAGATGTTCATTTTCTTCCAACAGGTGTTGGTACATATATGCAAACATTTGTTTTGGAGGATGCAGCAGATGGTGAAGCAACAAGTGCAGTCGGAATGAAATTTCAAGGAATTGCAACAGAGAATACATTCAGCGCACTTCTACAAAAAAAAAGGTTACCAAGAAAAGAGTTGAAATTTGAAGTTGAAGGAACAGAGTTAAAAATGCCACCAACCAGAATAGGAAGGCAGAGAACAATGGGAATAAAAATCATAAATGTATCAAAAGAATCAATAAGACTTAATTGTAAATGTGAAACTATATCTGGACCTGGAGGAAAATTTGTTTTATCAATTGCTATGAATACTGTAATAGTAAAAGCTGATGGGTTTGCAGTAATTCTTGTACGTTTCCAACCAAAAACATCTGGAGAAGTTAAAGGTGTAGTGACAATACAATCACTTGGAAGTGCAGAGGTTAAGGTGGATGTTATTGCAAAAGGAATCAGAGAAAGTGCTTCTCAATCAGCAACAACAACATCACCACCATCACCAACACTACTACCAACATCACCATCACCATTACAATTGTCATCACCTTATAACACGATTTTCTATGGTAGCTGCAGTTGAAGATGATGAAGATGAAGATGATAATTCATTAACAATAGGTGTAGTAGTAGATGTTAAATTATTTGTAGAGGAATTTTTGGTTTCTAAATTAAAACCCAATGTGCTAGACTTGTTATTTGTAGAAGAAATGTCTGTAGTAGTAGTAGTAGCAGCGGCAGCAGTAGCCTCCTCCTCGGGTATATCATCCAAAAGAATTATATTATGTGATTGTGATACACCAGATTTTTCATTCATTAAATCAAGTTCATTTTTTTTTATAGTAAATTCTTTAAAATTTTCTGATAATTTATATCCTAACAGTGTATCAGAACCATTTGCATCTATAGACATTAAATTGTTATCATCATCATCATCATTATTATTGCCATTATTATTATCATTATTATCAATTAATGTATTAGAACAATTTATTGTGTTGTCCTGATTTATTATAACTTGACTCTCTAGTGACGATGTCAAGTTAGGCCATTTATTTAAATCAAACTCTGATGGATTATTTTTTTTCATTTCCTTTTCTTTTTTAGATAATCTTTGCATTGCCATCTAATTATTATATTAACAAAAAAAAGAGAAAAAAAGAAATTAAGAAAGTAATGTAAAAAAAAAACAAATCAATGCTTTGCGTTTTATATATATTTACATTTTCTATCAATTTTTCAAGCTTCCTTCGCCATAAATTTAATTGATTTTCATCTTTAATCTTATTTTGTTGTAATATTCCCAATGTTTCATTCAAATGTTTACTTATTAACATCTTAGCATGATGCTTTGCAATTGATAATGATCTAAAATCTTGATCCACTGACCTATCAAACTAATATATGCGTGTATGGTGTGTAAGTAAACCTTGCTTTTTTAAAAAATTGATAATAATATATATAAATCAAAATTACCTGAACTACTGATTTTCTCAAAAAATTCAAAAGAAACGATTCATATTGTGAGTCAACGAATACCTTTTGACCAATTCTATTCTCGCAATCCAATATTTGTTCATTATATACCTGTTTTGATTCATGAAGAATTGTCTGCATTCCAAAATAAAGAATTTTACATATAGGTAATTATGTTGGTTTACAAATATTATAGATATATACACATATTACACATATATAATGTCTCGAGTGTTTCACATATATAATATATATGTACGTATTTGTATAATATTTGTCAAAAAAGATGACGTTACCATACCATCAATGCGCAACAAAGTTGTTGCATAACACTTGGACAAGTATATAATTGTTTATTTACACTAAATGTTACCCTGTTGACCTTAGGCAACTCCTTGCCTTTTCCTTTCGATATTTTACCATTTTTAGATTTGGTACCTTGTGATGGTGTGTTAATAGCATCAAAGTCATTTAGAATGGTATTTTCAGATGTTCTAAAAATACAAAATGTGTTAGTTATTCCATCTGATATTTGTCCTTTTGGACCTAGTGAGGGAAATCCTGTTGTAGATATTGAAATGATAATACCAGCACTATTTGGATGCTATATAAATAATATGTGTATATCAGATGTAAATGTAAACGTATATTTACACAGTATCTTAGATGTATTAATAAAAAGGAATAAAACTAAAATTAATAAGACATTTACTTGTGTTTGTAATTTTTGTTGTTTTATAATATCAGCTTGTGTAATAATCGAATTAGAATTAGATGAGATGTTACTTTTATTTACAATATAAATAAAAACACACATTTAATAAGAGTTTTGGTGGATTTGATTAATACAGTCACCAACAATATTAATAAAATGAAATGACAGTAATGGTATCGATGGAATTTTGAAAACACCATACCTTCGATACCAGCCTACTAATATTAGTCCCATATCCTTAAATTTTTTGATTGTTTCTTCATAAGCCAGATTAATCTCTTTCACTGTGTCAGTCAGTAGAGAAGGAATACACCTATAAAGGAATTTATAATTAATTAATTAATCACAAGTATTTAGATATAAATTCACGCGTGTATAGATAATATGAAAACTAACCTTTCCAAAGCTACAAATTGACTAACATGACATATGATCATATCAGATTTGCCAATGCTACATTTTCCTCCAAGATAACCAATAACCTGATGCTTTGGGTCAGAATAAGCACATTCCAAAAGAGCCGAAAATACAGACTCGTCAATGGACAAGTGGAAATTACTAGAAAATGAAAGTAAAAGAATTGAAACTTTTAATTTTAAATTTTTTTTGTTGTTTAGGTCTTTTTTGCTATCTTGCCAATTTTTTTGAACAATGACATCCTGTTTAAAAATTTTTATGGCTACTATATATATATATATATTTTGCTGACCATTTACAATGTAGTTGGGAAGTAACTTGCTTACCCAGGACCCTGTTCGATCATATTTGAGGTCATATAGAAAGTTGTCTTTTGAAATCGTATTTATTTATATAATACTTTTTTCCAAATAAAAAATAACAATAGGTGTGAATGTATGAAAATCTGCTGAACAATTAAATGTTTTGGGTGATTTTGAAACGCAAGCTTTTTAAGACTCTATTGAGTAACGATCTTAAACTAATCTATAAGATCGTTTGAAATCCAAGGTGTTTATACAAGCTCTATAAATTAACTAGTTTTTTAATTGCTTGCTATTTAGGTAGCACAATGTGAATTAATCAAAATATTTAATTTCAAATTGGATGTTTCGATAAATAACAACAATGTTAAACGTCACGAGAAGAAGAAGGATAAATTCTACTTCTAGTAATACAAGTGTTGATAGTATCAAAAGCAGCAATAGTAGCAGCAATTTCAGTAATTACGATATTAATGGCATAAAATATATTAATAATGATGGTAATGGTAGTGATTATGATAGCGATTATGATGCAAGCCATATAAGCTATAGGAGTGGTAGTAGTAATGCTAGTAATGTTAGTATCGATGATAGTGGTAGTGGCGATATAAATATCATGGAAAATATTGATACAAAAAAGAAGAAAAGGCAATATAGACAACTTGGATTTCAAGAGAATGTTAAACTGTGCATAGAATATTTTTGGAGAGGCTTCTGTGATGCATTTGCTTGGCCCTCAAGTTTGTTCATAATTTACGGGTAAATTGATTATTATAATCATCATCGTCGTCATCATCGTCATCATCATCGTCATCATCATCATCGTCATCAATATAATCATATCCATCCATCATTTCTTTAGATCTAATACACTTAGAAATCGAACGTTAAAATGTTTTACTTTGAATGGAGTAATTTTTCTAGGAAGTATATTTTTTTTCAAGAATTTTACACTGCCAATAATCCATTTTTTCTTAGGAGATCCAGTGTTAAATAGTAAAGGAGGAGAAAATCATTCGCTGTTTATTTCAAGTTTTTTAGATTCAATTGTGAATTTGATTTATCAGGTATTTAATAAATAGACACATACATATTCTTTCACTTTATTATAATTAATTTGTCTTTTACTTATTTTTATTTAATAGTTATTTTGGGTTTACCCAATATTTTTATTAAGCTTTATATTAAATTCAATGTGGTACCAAGATATTGCAAATCGTATTTATAAATTACAATATGGAGAAACAATTAATTCCAAATTTAATTATGATAAATTGTTGAAAGCAATGGCAGATGAAATATATAGGACCATATTATTTATGAATTATTTAATATTTTCAACAATCATTTACATTATACCAATATTTGGTCCATTATTTTCATTTATATACTTTTGTTGGATTTATTCATTTTATAGTTTTGAGTAAGTAATTTTATTTTACTCTTATTATTTTTCTTGAGGAGAAATTACTATAACAATTATCATTGAAATATTTAAACAACAAATAGATATAAATGGATAAATAAAGGTTGGTCATTAGAACAGAGAATTGATTATTTTGAAGAAAAATGGGCTTATTTCGCAGGATTTGGTATTTATCAAAATTTAATCTCTTTAAAATTCTTTTTAATTAATATTAATTTATTAATTTATTATTAGGTTTTACTTTTACTTTTATAACATTTTTTGTAGATGTGTTTTTTAGTACTGGAATATTTGCTTTATTATTTCCTATTGTAAGTAAATTCATCTATAATAATAGATAATATTAATGCATTAACAAATATTATATTATATTTAGTATATAATAATGGCCCATAATGCTTCACCAATGCCAAGGAATAACAAGAAATTAAAATTCTCTCCACTAATTCCTTATAAACTTCCAATATTTTGGGTAGCAAAAAAGATGAATGATAAACTTATAACCATTTTTCATAATAGAACAATTAAATAACAGTATATATTAAATTATAATTATAATTATATATAACCAAACAAACAAATGAACAATCAACATTTTAAATATAAAATTTTATCTTCCTTTCTCCTTCAAATATACAAATATACGAACATTAAAATAAAACAATAAATAAAATGATTAACAGTACTAAAATTTAAATAGTTGAGAAAAACTAAAATAAATTACTAAATCGATTAACAATTTACATATACATGTTATTTGTAAGGCCAATCCATTTAATATTATGGAAAACATGCATAACCTGTATAAATTTATTAGACTACTCATCAATGCACCATTTGATCACGAAAGTCTATTTTATTAAAAATAAATCATGAAAACACAATAGGATACTAGGATGCTCTGTATCCAGCTCAGGAAAAGCCTTCATGTGTGGCCAACTTTATGAAACCGGCCATGCCAGCTAGATCACTATGTGCCAAATTTGGGCAGTGTCCCCACAACGGGCTCTCAAGTGTGTCCTGATGACATGAATAGGCCAGATGGTATATAACACATTGTGTGTGGTTTGACAACAGAAATAGGCCGTCATTGTCATCCTGACATATAATGCTTCATATGTGGCTTGACAATGGAAATAGGACTTGTTCATATGTACAAGTTACAAGCATTGTTTCAAATACAGACAGGATTTTTCCAAATTTGGAAATCAATTCTAGAAAAATTAGAACCCATGTCAATCAATTCATATATAATTGAGTTAACATGATGCTTTATAAAAATCCTAATTATAATACTACTACCAAACCTGCTTTCTTGTAATCCATTCAAATCTGCAACTATCTGTTAGTTTGTAGAAAGCATGTTATTGCGTTTAAAGAATTTATGTAATAGGAGTTCATTCATTGGCTTTTTAGATAATTTTTCTTTGAACTTTAGTGAATAGAACATCAAGGACTATACATGCAGCCCAAAGTATTGACACTGTCATAAAGGGGGGTTACACGTGTAGTAAGGGGTGTTACACTTATGTTTTTAATAGTGAGTGCCATAATTAATTTCTACTTTCTACCATCAAAATTGGAATAAT